TTAGAGAGGGCTGAAAGCCCTATGAAGCGGTATATAAGTCTATTGCTATTGCTATTGCTATTGCTATTGCTATTGCTGGCAAGGCTTGAGGGAGGAAGAGATCCTGGCACTTACTTGATGAGGTTCTCCAGGAAGAGGCGGGCGTTGCAGAGGACCTGGGAGGGAAAGAAGACGGTCAGGGCAGGGAGGGAAGCGGGCAGGGAGGGGAAGGGGCTGCTCAACTTGGGTCCCAGTGAGATCACGCAGCTGGAGAACGGAGGTCAGATTGAACCCCAGGAAGGGACCCGGCCTGGACCGGACAGGCTTCAGACGAGGTTGACCGGTGTGGCTAACAACTCTAAGAATGATTTTTTTAAAAAAAGGAAGGATATAATTTTCAAGCATTTGGCTAAAAGAAAGTAATGGTAGATAAGAACAACAATCCAGATAGCCAGAACGTCCGTTATTAAGCAAGACACTTGTTAAGTGAGCTTTGCCCCCTCTGTTGTTAAGGGAACCACCATAGTTGTTAAATCCTGGCTTCCCCATTCACTTAGCCGGCCAGGAGGTCACCAAAAGGGGTTACATCACACACACACACCACACAACGGTCAGTTGCCAAGCATCTGAATTTTGATCATGTGACCACGGAGATGATGCAATGGTCGTAACTGGGGGTGACGGCAGGGACATCCTCAGAACCGGGTGTCCAGATGAGCCCTGCAGGCGATCTCCTCTCCTCCTTCCTGCAGACCTTCTGGGGACCCAGAGGACGCACAGAGGGGGCAGCCGTGCGCAATACGTTTAATAGTTTGCTTATCAGCACCGCAATCGTAAAAGGGGAAACTTTCCATCTCCGCTGATACAGAGCAAAGGGATCACACCTGTATTTTTCAGAGTATAAGACGCACCAAGATTTTGGAGAGGTAAATTTAAAAAAAAAAGTTTTTGCAGCCTGCAGACGTCCCAAACCCTCTGATTTTTTTGTGAAAAACGGGGCATGCAGAGAGTTTGAGAGGCCTGCAAAGGGCTCCTGGGGGCTGGGGAGGGGGCGGCAAAAACGGGGCCGGTTCTTTTGCCAAAAAAAGGGGCATGCATAGCCTTTAGGAGGCTTGTAGAGTGCTAGGGGGGGGGACACAAAAACGAGCCCAAAACGGCCCACTTCCTGATTTTTGCCCTCCCCAGCCCCCAGGAGTAGCCTCCCAAACCCTCTGCACGTCCCTTTTTTGAAGCGGATGGGGTTTCGGGCAGCCAAAAATACTGCGTTCAGTGCATAAGATGCACCCAGATTTTCTCCCTCTTTTTGGGGGGGAAAAGGTGCATCTTATACTCCAAAAAATATGGCAGTTCTGTTCAATTTTTGTCCAGACAGAGCCAGGCAGGTCAAAACCAGGGGGACCTTGGCAAATTGAAGACTTTTAAGACTTGTGGACTTCAACTCCCAGAATTCCCCAGCCTGCTTAGCTGGCTCTCCCCAAGTTCAAAACTTGCAGAATCAAAACGTGCAGCAACCGGGGGGAGGAGGGGGAGAGGCTGCTCCTCCCAGGCACTGGAGGGTCCTTGCCGTGCCAGGCGTGCAATGACACAGCACGGCATCCCACAGTTTCAGTTTCTAGAGCAAAGGACACTCTAAACTCCCTCCCCCCCCCCCCCCCAGTGGGTTGACTCATCCTGCAGCCGACTCAGAGGCGACCTTTGGAGGGATCGCTGGGTCTCCGGAGGGCAGATGGGCCGGCGGCACCAGGCAGCACCACACCCTGGTTTGAAGGTCAAGAAGCCAGCGTGGCAAGGGACTGCCACCTCCAACTGCCAAGACCTGTGGACTTCAACTCCCAGAATTCCCCAGCCATCTAGCCTCAGAGGTCTTCAAACTTGGCAACTTTTAAGACCTGTGGACTTCAACTCCCAGAATTCCCCAGCCAGCTAAGCTGGCTGGGGAATTCTGGGAGTTGAAGTCCACAGGTCTTAAAAGTTGCCAAGGCTGGACACCTGTATGGACTTCCTCAGAAAGCTCTGATCTGCAACGGGAAGAGCGGAATCCGTCTCCTTAAGATGCCGTCAGAAGCCCCTCACTCCTCTGTTCAGAGGGGGCCCAAGGGCCTCTCGGGGGTCCCTGTGGCTGAACAGATGTTGGGGGGGGGCAGTTTCAATATGAACAAACACGGGAGGAGCGGCTGCAGCAAGTGGGGGTGGCCAGTCTAGAGAAGAGGAGGAGTAAGGGGGCACATGATAGCAGCCTGCCTATATTTGAGGGGCTGCCCCAAAGAAGAGGGGGTCAAACTCTTCTCTAAGCACCCAAAAAGCAAGAGGAGAAGCAGCTTAGAACGGAGGAGAAAGTTCCCGACAGTGAGGACAATTAACCAGTGGAACAACTTGCCACCAGAAGCGGTGGGTGCTTCCATCACTGGAGGTGTTTAGCAAGAGACTGACTGGAGAGCCATTTATCTTAACTGGTGTAGGGTTTCCTGCCTGAGCAGGGGGGGGTTGGGATAGAAGACCTCCAAGGTCCCTGCCAACTCGGTTAGTCTTCTCTTTTTCCCGAGTGGTGCCCCCTGGCCCAGTTGGCGAAAGCCAACTTAGACTATCTTGCTTGGCGCAGCTGTGCACCAGCGGGTGCAGCTGGCAACCAGATCCCCGTCCAGGAGAGGCAGATCTGCAGTGCAGACGGCCCTTGGGAGCCGGCCCAGCACTGCGGCTGTCTGTCCTGCAGTCACGCCAGCTTCGTGAGGTCTGGATGCCAGGAGCCGTCACGGATCAGGAGGGTGCTCCCGGCACCGTTCTCCCTCCCCTGTGTTGGCCTTAATGACCCCCGAGATGGAGGACCTGCCTGGATGTCCCCCCCATGCTCCAGGATTGAGCCTTCCCCCGCCCAAATTCCTGGAGGCTGAAGCCGCTTTTCCCCAGATGCCCTCAGGAGCTGCAGTGGGCACTGAAATGGCCCATTAAGAGCTGCCCTCCCTTGCTGTGCCCTCTGGCAACCAGATATGGGGTCCTCTGGATTGGAACTGATCCTCCCTGCAAATGCGCTTGAGGAAGCTTCACAAATGGAAGGCTTGGAGAAGAGGAGGGGGGGAGGACCAGGGCAGCCCTCCAGCAGACCAGGAATGTCCAGCCATCTTGGCCTGGGGAATTCTGGGAGTTGAAGTCCACACCTCTTGAAGTGGCCGGGTTTGCAGACCCCAGACAGCAGAGAAACGTCTGGCAGCAGCATGGAGACCTACAGCCTTCCCACCCCAATAGAAGCCTGGAAGACCCCACCCCCTGCAACCCCCGAGGGTCCGTCACCCATAATGTCCTCAGCCACCACACCCGAGAAGCCAGAAGTGCTGCAGAACCCCCCCAAACTCTTTCCCGTGGCCCGTTTCCCAGCCGCCCGTCCGTCCATCCCAGCACGAGCCGCCACTCAACCCAAGCCGAGGCGGCCAGGCTGCCGAGCTGTTGAGACCACAATGTCCTCTCTGTGCTGCAAAGTGGCCGCCGAGAGTGTCTGCCTGGCGGGAGGCCAGCTTTCGCGGCCCAAGGCCCAAGAAATGCAGCTGCCGCCCGGGGAAGCCAAGGGGCAGCGAGCCAGGAATCAGGGCCGGCGATGGCAGGGGCTACTCACCAGCATGACCACGCACCAGTTCAAGATGCCCCTGTAGTTGCTGAAGCCGCTGGCGGAGCTGAGCAGGGAATCCTGCAGCTTGTGACACCTGGAGGGGGGGGGGGGGGGGAATGGGGGGGGGGGGGGAAGAAGCCACAGGTTAGGCTGCGTTTCAAAGTGGGACACTGGGAGTCCAATACAGCCCGTCCTCAGTGGAGCCCAAAATTTCCAAAAGGGTTGGACTAGAAGACCTCCAAGGTCCCTCCCAACTCTGTTATTCCTCTGATTGGAGCGGTGCCCCCTGGCCCAGTTGTGCCAGAGCAATTTTCTGCCAGAGGGGATTTTTCCAGCTGTATCAGCGGCCTTCAGTGCGGGATAATCCAGATATGGGATGCCTCAAGAAGAGGATACAGAATAACAGGGCTGGAAGGGACCTTGGAGGTCTTCTAGTCCAACCCCCTACTTAGCCAGAAAACCCTACACCACTCCGGACAAACCACTGTCTCTTCTTAAAAACCTCCAGGGATGGAGCCCCCACCACCTCTGGAGGGAAGCTGTTCCACTGGTTGATTGTCCTCACCGTCAGGAAGTTTCTCCTTAGTTCTAAGTTGCTTCTCTCCTTGATTAGTTTCCGCCCATTGCTTCTTGTTCTACCCTCAGGTGCTTTAGAGCAGTGTTTTTCAACCTTGGCAACTTGATGATGCCCGGACTTCAACTCCCAGAATTCCCCAGCCAGCGAATGCTGGCTGGGGAATTCTGGGAGTTGAAGTCCGGGCATCTTCAAGTTGCCAAGGTTGAGAAACACTGCTTTAGAGAATAGCTTGACTCCCTCTTCTTTATGGCAGCCCCTCAAAAATTGGAATACTGCTGTCTGTCATTGCCCCCCCCCACCCTAATTAAACAGGTAGTCCTCATTTGGCAAGTGCTTCAGTTAGAAAACACCTGAAGAAACCCCCATCTTTGCAATCAATCATTGCCTCCGCCCCCTCACAGCAGCCCACAGTGACACAATCACCACTTGCACACTTCACAACTGCCTTGCCCCAAGCAGAGTTCATGGAGAATGAACATCGCCAAGTCCCGGTGGGTCATGAGAAACTGTGCCTAGCAGCTGAGCTGCCGGCCCCCTTGGCGTTGCTAAGTGAGGACCATCTCTGAAGTTAGGCTTTGGGAAGAGGGCGGAGAAGAGCAGCAAAGAGGACGGGGGCCTGGAGGACAAAACACGCGGAAGTGGGATGAAAAGGAGAGGAGAGCAGGCTTCCAATATCTGGGGGGGCTGATCCAAAGAAGAGGGGCTCAGCCTATTTCCCAAAGCCCCTGAAGGCAAAAGCAAGAAGCAATGGGTGGAAACTAATCAAGGAGAGAAGCAAACTTGGAGAAACTTCCTGAAACAGGGAGGAGGATTAAGCAGGGGAACAGAAGTTTGGAAGCGGTGGGTGTCCCATCACTGGAGGCTTTTTCAGAAGAGACGGGACAGCCATTTGTCTGAAACGGTATAGATTCCCCTGCTCGAGCAGCGGGTTGGGCTAGATGACCTCCAAGGTCCCTTCCAGCTCTGTTATTCTGCCCGTGTCAAAAACCGGATTCTCACCGGACTCCACCCACTTTGAAGTCTCTGCCAGCCGCTCTCACTCGAGGAATTTCCCACCACACCCAGGTGTGCCAACCCTCCTCCTCCGCTTTTCAGCCTTCAGCCCCAGGTTGAAGGATCCTGTCAATCAGAAGCTATTAATCATTCTGGACCAGCCGGCAGGGGGCAGCCCAGCTTCCCCCCCCCCCAGCCCTCTCTAGCCACTTGTGGCCCTTGGAGCCCCAGCGGCCGTGAGCGAGGGGGAAGAGGGGCCCGGGGACCCCTTTGTGCTTGCAAGGACCAAGGAAACATTGGGGGCTCCAGACGGGGCTGGAAGGGCTCCCCTCCATTAAGGGGTCTGTGGCTTCCCTGTCCCAAGGGGGGGGGCAGGAGGAGAGGAAAAGGTGAGGCAGGAGCACAAACATCCACAACAGGTTCCTGCACGTCCTTTTACAGAAAGGCCCAACTCTGGAAAGGCCCCAGCAGAAGCTCCAGAGAGATTCTCCGTCCTCCAGGTCAGCCTTGGCCCAAAAGGCAGCCGGGCCCCTTGGCTTTTCCTTCCGAAGACCTTTCGCTTCTCATCCAAGGAGCTTCTTCGGTTCATCCTCCAGTTCTTCGTGAACTGAAGAAGCTGCCTGGATGAGGAGCAAAAGGCCTTCGGAAGGAAAAGCCAAGGGGCCCAGCTGCCTTTGGGACTCGGGGCCTCTCCTCCCTTTGGGGGCAACGAGTGCGGACCCCCCCCCCCACAAAGCAGGAACACCTCCAACACCCGCACACCCCGTGGCCCCCAACTCTTTCAGCTCCTGTGGGGGCCACAATGTCCCTGGTGCTGTTCACAGCTGGCATTTCAAGGTGGGCTTTAGCAAAAACCGAAGCCCACCTGGGCCACGCAGGAGCCTCCGTCGGGCCAAGACTTTGGAAAGCGGCCATTGGTGCAGAACTGCTCCTTCGTGC